TTTTTTTTTTTTTTCCTTTTCGCCATTCCTTTTTTTCTTTTAAATGTATATGTATTTTTGAGAGAGAGAGAGAGGGCACGAGCCATCGAAGGGGGGAGGGGCAGAGAGGGAGGGAGACAGGATCTGAAGCAGGCTCCAGGCTCTGAACTGTCAGCCCAGAGGCTGAGGTAGGGCTTGAACTCACAAACTGTGAGATCGTGACCTGAGCCGAAGGGAGACACTCAACTGCCTGAGCCACCCAGGTGCCCTCTTACCTTTGTTTTTATCCCACTGTACTTTGCGGGGCCCATATATCCACTTGGTTACTTTATCATAGACATTAATGGAGCTCACCTCCCTTACGAATTCATGAAAGGGCTGTAAAGAAGTATTTATTCTTGTCCTTCATAGGCTTCTTGTTTAGAAGTATTTCATGGTAACTTTTTAAAACTTGAGTGAGGGAAGCCAAATTTTTATTAAGAAGTTAACGATGACCTATAGACCAAGGTGGTGTTGTGTTTTTGGTTTTAATTTCCTCATAGGTGGCCGATAACGGAAAGCCTCAGTTGTCATCTTTGACGTATATTGACATTCGGGTCATTGAGGAGAGTGTCTATCCGCCTGCAATCTTGCCACTAGAGATTTTCATTACTGCTTTTGGAGAGGAATACTCAGGCGGTGTCATTGGGAAGATTCACGCAACAGACCAGGACGTGTATGACACTTTAAGCTATAGTCTTGATCCGCAGATGGGCAACCTCTTCTCTGTTTCCAGCACCGGGGGTAAGCTGATAGCACACAGAAAGCTAGATGTAGGGCAGTACCTTCTCAATGTCAGTGTAACCGATGGGAAATTCACGACGGTGGCGGACATCACGGTGCACATCAGACAGATAACCCAGGAGATGCTGAACCACACGGTCGCCGTCCGCTTCGCCAACCTCACTCCGGAAGAATTCGTTGGTGACTACTGGCGCAACTTCCAGCGAGCTTTGCGGAACATCCTGGGTGTGAGGAGGAGTGATGTCCAGATCGTTAGTTTGCAGCCCTCTGAACCCCATCCACATCTGGATGTCTTGCTTTTCGTAGAGAAATCAGGGAGTGCCCAGGTTTCAACCAAACTGCTTCTGCACAAGATCAATTCTTCTGTGACTGATCTTGAGGAAATCATGGGTGTTAGGATACTGGACGTGTTCCAGAAGCTCTGTGCAGGGCTGGACTGCCCGTGGAAGTTCTGTGACGAAAAGGTGACCGTGGATGAGAACGTTATGTCAACGCACAGCACGGCCAGACTGAGTTTCGTGACTCCCCGCCACCACAGGACAGCTGTGTGTCTCTGCCAAGGTAATGCACATCAGTCGGGAAACAGGCGGTACGGATCATTTCGCGTGCAGCCTTTGAAGGCTACACACGAATCGTTTTCTCGAATTTCGTGAAGTTCCTGTTAATGGGCTTTCCCCCCCCTCCTGTCTCTTCTTTCTTTCGGTGGTGTTTTTTACAGAGGGAAGATGCCCAGTTGTCCATCATGGATGTGAAGACAGTCCATGCCCTGAGGGATCTGAATGTATCGCTGATCCCAGAGAGGAGAAATACGCCTGTGTCTGCCCGGGTGGCAAGTTTGGTCAGTGCCCAGGTGAGAGTTCAGTGATGAGGGGTGCTTCCGTTTGAAAAAGTCACTTCCAGTGTTCCTTGCCATTGTTTTTTTGTTGTTTTTTGTTGTTGTTAGCTTTGGTAAATCTTGTCAAGTGCGTTTATAATAACAAGCCAAGGGTATGGATGAGTAAGGAGGAGCAGTAGTAACTTCTTCCACACAACTCACCCGAATTAAGGGCGATGCTCTTTCTTCTTCAACATCGTGCTCATGTAAACATACAGTCCCACATGTGCACATTCATTGTGCTTTTTTGTTTTCACATTCCCTTTAAGAATAAATAGTTACCGTATCTCATAAAGTCTACTGCTTGCTTCTCCCCCTGTTTAATGTACGTTATGGGCATCTTTCCAGGTCATTGCATGTAAACCTAATGCTTCTGAATGGCTCTGCCATGATTTATTCAACATTTTCCTTACTCATAGAGCTTGAGGTTCTTAAGATGTTTCCTTGTGTTAAAAATGAATCCTTTTCTGCACTTAATCGTGGTGAGGCTTTGACTAATGTATACAAGCGTTGAATCATTCTGTGGCAGTTCTGAAACTAATTATACTTCAGTTTTTACAAAAGCACTTGTATCCATACAGCCATATTTATTGGTGCTTTCTTTTCTAAAACGAGGATTTACTATGTCAAAGACTAACTACGTTTTTAATTTTTAAATAGACCATTATGTTAGTTTCCCAGAAAGTTATACCAGTTCCTTTCTTGCAGTCATGTGTGACCGTTTCACTCCCCATTTTCTTGGCAATGCAAGGTTTTCAATTAAAAAAACAAATTCCTGGGGCGCCTGGGTGGCGCAGTCGGTTGAGCGTCCGACTTCAGCCAGGTCACTATCTCGCGGTCCGTGAGTTTGAGCCCCGCGTCGGGCTCTGGGCTGATGGCTCGGAGCCTGGAGCTTCCCATTCTGTGTCTCCCTCTCTCTCTGCCCCTCCCCCGTTCATGCTCTGTCTCTCTCTGTCCCAAAAATAAATAAAAAACGTTGAAAAAAAAATTAAAAAAAAAAAAATTCCTTCATCCAGTGGGCAGGAAATGATATCTAGTTAGTTTAGTGTGGATTTCTCCAGCCTTTTTGTGAATGTTTTGTTGTCTTTTTATTCCTGGTAGCATTTCCTCCCCGGGACTGTTCAAAGTCTTTGCTAGTTTGTCCAGCTTATCTGTCTGGTTTTTGTTTCAGTGTATAGATCACTCTGTGTGCTGTGAGCATGAACATTATCTCCAACCCACTGTCTGTCTATTATTGTCTATTGTTTACAGTATCTTTTGTCACTTTGAAATACAACTTTTGTCTGTTCTGTATAATTTTTACATAACCATTTCCATCGCTGGAGAGTGATGTTACTTTCATTATTTTTGGAGACTGGGAATTAGATCTTGCTTGCAAAGCTTCCCCAAACCGTGTGAGGCTGTGTAAATATTTTCCTAAGTTGTCTTCTAATAATTTTATATTGAACGTTTTTATATTTATTTTTTTAAATACGTATTTTTTGAAGTTTATTTTGACAGAGTCCACGCGTGTGCGTGCATGCGTCGGGGAGGGGCAGAGAGAGAGGGAGAGAGAATCCCAAGCAGGCTCCACACTGTCTGTGTAGAGCCCAACGTGAGGCTTGAACTCATGAACCGTGAGACCATGACCTGAGCTGAAATCAAGAGTTGGACACTTAACCAAGCCACTCGTGAACATTTTTATATTTAGATCTCTCATTATTTTAGAACTCATTCCTCACTGATACAGTAGTCTAATTCTCTTCCAAAAAGTGACCCAGGGGTGCTGTGCTTTTTATTAAAGCAAATTGACATTTTCCATCAGATTGAACTTTATAATGTGGTAACCTTAAATAAAAACTTGGATCAGTGTTGGGGGGAAATCTCCCTTTTAAAGATATGCTTCAGCTTGGTTCTGATTTATGTTTTCCTCTTTGTGATTCACAGGGAGTTCATCTGTAACATTTACTGGAAACAGCTTTGTGAAATACCGTCTAATGGAAAACGAAAACAGATTGGAGATGAAACTGACCATGAGGCTCAGAACGTACTCTGCTCACGCAGTTGTGATGTACGCTCGCGGGACCGACTACAGCATCTTGGAGGTACGTTTTTGAACCTCACGTTATGGAAGACTTAAAAATACAAAATTCCCATTTTGTTTCTATGGTCCATTTTTGAAAAAACAATTAAAGGAAATGGTTTTATTCCACACTTAAATGGTCTCTTGATACTTCTAAGTTTTAGACTTTGTGGGCCAAAAAGCTCCTTTATTTGCTCTGCAGTAACATAGAGATTGACTTCTTTTTTTCGCAACCTTTTCAGGTCACATGACCATTAATGTTCAAACTCTGATATTACGTCTTATGTCATATAGAGAATTTGTAGAGAACATATGTAAATGCTTGAAGTGGTAATTATCCTCCACCCCCTCCCCTTTTTTTTTTATCTTACCTGATACTATTTTTGTTGTTCAATTAGTTAATTGTTATTTCTGTGATGCTTTTTGGATGTGCGGTTTGAACTTGATATCCCTGTAACGTCCATTTTTACTCTTTCTGCCGTGAGCAGATGAGCCTGTGTTCTGTAGTACTTAAGTGCAAGGCCTCACTGACTTTCTACCTTCAAGTGCTCACCGTGCCTCTCCTTTAGATGTTTGATCAGAGTTCATAATTGCAGATTCTGTGGGAGTAATGTGAACGGCCATTGTTTTCATGACAGATTCATAATGGACGGCTACAGTACAAATTTGACTGTGGAAGCGGCCCTGGAATTGTCTCTGTTCAAAGCATTCAGGTCAACGATGGGCTGTGGCATGCAGTGTCTCTAGAAGTGAATGGAAACTACGCTCGGCTGGTTCTCGACCAAGTTCACACTGCATCAGGCACAGCCCCTGGGACTCTGAAAACCCTGAACCTGGATAACCATGTGTTTTTCGGTGGCCACATCCGCCAGCAAGGCACAAGGCACGGAAGAAGCCCCCAAGTGGGTAATGGCTTCAGGGGTTGTATGGACTCCATTTATTTGAATGGGCAGGAGCTCCCTTTAAACAACAAACCAAGAAGCCATGCACATATTGAAGAATGGGTGGACGTCTCTCCCGGGTGCTTGTTAACGGCTACCGAAGACTGTTCCAGCAACCCTTGCCAGAATGGAGGCGTTTGCCAGCCATCCCCTACTGGAGGTAGGCTTCGTGACGTGGTCCTTTTTAAAATGTTACACACGAATACACGCAGTTCCTCAAGTACTTGTGTTTCCCCCTTTTCATTCAAATGATGGGTCAGATACTGCAGTCAGTATTGGAATCGAGTGGTTGGTGCATGTTACACCAGACCGGGCGTGGGCTAGGATTCTTCCCTGCGGTGAGGCCGCAGTGGGTGGTGTCTTACTTGCCGAGGTCCTGCAGACACGTGGCAGGTGCACCCAGAGGAAGTGTGTCCAGACACCCCTCGTTCTGCACCAGGAGCCACTGGTGGACTACGGCTAACTCTGCACTTTTTCTCCACCCACACGGACATTGACCCAGCGGGACTCAGAATTGTACACTTTGTTCTTTCGAGTGCCCTTCTTTGATCTGATGGCTCAGCACCCAGCGACTGCTAGTCGAGCTAGTTATAGATGGGGTGTGGTTTTCCAGAAGGCCTCGAATCCTCCCGAAGCGTCACCAGTGCGCCGAGACTTTTTTCACCTGGCCCCGTTTGTTTCCTTTCCCAGTAATAGAAATTATGACAGTCCTGGTGCCTGGGAAATAGAGCTTTGTGTAAGGGATAGAGCAAATATCGAAATAACACTTGGGTGAGATTTCAGAAGCTTCGGTTTTTTTGTTACTTTCTTTGGAAAGCATCTGTGCACACTATATGCAAACAACGGGCCAGGTCAGCCCCACAGTAATACTCTGAATGAAAGTGTAGACTGTGCTCGTGTTACATGGCCACGTGAGGTCAGCCAGGAGACTCTCCTTGTTGCGTCACTCAGGCATGAGGCTGAGAGAAGCATGTTCTTGAAACGTGCTCCTGCAGTCCCTGTGGCAGCTAGACACTGGCTCTGTCGCATGTCACAGTCTTTATGTTCCTTTGGACAGATTTGATAATCCCCTTTCGTTAATGATAGCATATAGTCTCACAGTGCCTTCACGTTTACTGCTCTCTCGTTTAGCCCTTAAAAGCTTGTGAGTTGTGAATTGAGGTCGATGTCCAGTAGTAAGTGTTGTCTACGTGGTCCCTCAAATAAAGGACTGTTGGTCCCTACTCTGTACGCTTGGCCCAACAACCTTACCTAAACTATGATTCGCTAAAGCCAACGACGAGTTCTCTCTTCCGTTCTTTGTGTTAGGGTTCTCCCAAAAGCAGAAGGGATAGCTTGTTGATCTAGACCACATTTTACCCAGAGGGAATAGGAATTTTACTAACTTTGATGGGTCTCTGAGTCTCCTCTTAGTAAAAACCAATGTACTGAGATACAGTTTTTGAGTTACTGATTGGACTTCTTTGTTCCCTTCTGCTCATTTAGGTTATTACTGTAAATGCAGTGCCTTGTACATAGGGACGTATTGTGAGCTGAGCGTCAACCCGTGTTCCTCCAACCCATGCCTCTATGGTGGCACGTGCATTGTGGACAACGGAGACTTCCTTTGCCAATGCCGAGGATTGTACACTGGCCAGAGGTATGTGTGTTTTTCTTAACTTTCATAATTATAGTATTAAAAAGTTTTGTAAATGGATGCTTGGTATATAGATGGATACTTGATACATACGTCTGACTAAATTTACGTGTTGTTTTCTCTTGCACTGTATTTATCTACAGTAGAAAGTGTTAGGTTTATGCATATTTCCCCTTCCTTCTTCAGGTGCCAGCTTAGTCCATATTGCAAAGATGAGCCCTGTAAAAATGGTGGAACATGTTTTGACAGCTTGGATGGTGCCGTCTGTCAGTGTGATTCGGGTTTTAGGGGAGAAAGGTAAGTGGCTTCTTCCAGAATTTGTATCTGCTCTTCTCTGTAGTGTCAAATCAAATAGCAGATGCAACAGAAGTTGATTAATCTGGACTCTGTTGCTTCACATTGTCATAATCCTCATATAGCTCCTTGTAGAATTTATCTCTTCACTCTTTAAAAACAGTGAGCAGGTGATAACGTAATGCTTGACGATACTTGTGGACGTCAGATATATTTATAAGCAGAACATACGGGTTCTTGGAGGCAGTACATGTTTGCGGGAAGAGTGACGATTTTTTTAAGGTGGATACACGTGACGTTGTTACCGGTCTTGAGTGGGATGACAATGACCTCTTCTCATAATCTGTTATAGCTAACATTTAGATAGCATCTAGACCCCCTTTCAACTCTCATTATCTTTTGTAATCCTTACCATAATGCTAAGAGGTGATGATTATTTCCGAGAGGAGCAACATGAGGCACAGAGCTGCCTGTTAGACACCGCGAAAGAGGCAGGTTGGTGATGGGGCGCCTGGGTGGCTCAGTCGGTTGAGTATCCGACTTCGGCTCAGGTCATGATCTCATGGTTTGTGAGTTCGAGCCTCGCATCGGGGTCTGTGCTGCCAGCTCAGAGCCTGCTTCAGGTTCTGTGTCTCCCTGTCTCTCTGCCCTTTCCCTGCTCCAGCTCTGTGTCTCCCTCAAAAATAAACATTAAAAAAATTTTTTTCAAAAGTTACTTGGTGAGGGGCAACTGGGTGGCTCAGTCAGTGCTGAGCATCTGACTTTCCAGGGTCGTGGGATGGAACCTCATGCTGACAGCGCTCGGCACACTTAGGATTTTCTATCTGTCCCTCCCTGACTCGCATGTGCACGCTCTCTCAAAACAAAACAGTTCATGTTATTTCTAAGTGCCTGATGCTTCACTGAAGTGTTCACTGTCAATCTTGTTGGAAGGCTTTTAAGTGTGAGCTGCTTGTAGGTATTTGCATATGCTTTTACTCAAGTGGTGGTTAGAGCCCTGAATTTGGCCATCAGTCACATGGTCTTAGTTCCTAAGTTGTTGATTTTAGTAATTCCAGTGAATCAATCCGTGACATATTTGAGAAAAATGTCTCAAACTTTCAATGGCAGGTGAGTGTGGGGCCAGGGCAGTAGCTACCTTTTATTAAAGGAGGGAAGGATTGATAAGTGTCAGGTGCATCCTCCCAGGGCCCCCATTTGGAAAGGCAGAGGGGACACAGTGGCATGTGAAGTGTTAGGTCAGGTGATGGGCTTTGGGAGGTTTTCCACAAGAGAAACATTTTTAGTTTGTTTTTTTCTTAAATTTGTTTATTTTGATAGAGACAGATCACACGTGGGGCAGGAGCAGAGAGAGGGAGAGAATCCCAAGCAGGCTGTGTGCTGTGAGTGCAGAGCCTGATACAGGGCTCGAGCTCATGAACCATGAGATGGTGAACCAAAACCAAGAGCCCCTGATGCTTAATCACCTGAGCCACCCAGGTGCCCCAACTGTTTGCTAACCTTTCACATGTCTTAGGAAACTGTTATCTTTCCAAGCAGGAACATCTCCTTCGAAATTGAGGCTCACATATTAGAACAGTTTCCGGCATACCATTTATCAAAATGCACTTTCTTAAAGAATCTGCAACAAACTGGTGCACTCAGCTCAGTCTGTGAGTTTGCTTTAGTCAGCTGTGGAATCCTAGAAGAGTAGCGTTTAAATACGGCTTGACATAATGTTTATCTCCCACAGGTACCGCATATAGGATCACATGATCAGTTACCCCGAAGGGTTTCTGTTGGGATCACTGTTGTCAGCTGTGTGTTTTGGGGAGTTACAGATTTTGCTCTGTTTGGGTGCCGTCCTTCCGTGGGAGTGGCAGGCCAGGCGTATTCTGACTTCCGTTGCTCGTGTCTGTCCTCCCTGCAGGTGCCAGAGTGACATTGACGAATGCGCTGCCAGCCCCTGCCGCAACGGGGCCCTCTGCGAGAACACGCACGGCTCCTACCACTGTAACTGCAGCCACGACTATAGGGGGAAGCACTGTGAGGACGCTGCCCCCAATCAGTACGTGTCCACGCCGTGGAACATCGGACTGGCTGAAGGAATAGGAATTCTCGTCTTTGTAACCGGGATATTCTTACTGGCGGTGGTGTTCGTCCTCTGCCGGAAGATGATCAGTCGGAAGAAGAAGCACCAGGCCGAACCTGAAGACAAGCACTTGGGACCAACCACAGCTTTCTTGCAGAGACCATATTTCGATTCAAAGCTAAATAAGAACATTTACTCCGACATCCCACCCCAGGTGCCCGTCCGTCCTATATCCTACACTCCAAGCATTCCAAGTGACTCCAGGAACAACCTTGACCGCAATTCCTTTGAGGGATCTGCTATCCCGGAGCATCCTGAATTCAGCACCTTTAACCCCGAGTCTGTGCACGGACACCGGAAGGCAGTGGCCGTCTGCAGCGTGGCCCCGAACTTGCCTCCCCCACCACCTTCCAACTCCCCTTCTGACAGCGACTCCATACAAAAGCCCAGCTGGGACTTCGACTATGATAGTAAGAGCGGTTTTTTCCATCTGAGTAAAATGTCACTAAGCTCAACAGTGACCTTGTAAATGCTGCCAGAGATTCTGGTGGCTCCATTCACAATGTGGGGAGCCTCTGGCAGTGACAGATAGGCTCAGCCTCTGAAGACCTGTAGTAGGATTTGAAAAACCTTCCGGGGCTGAGCGCTGTGGCTGTGATGTTATGTTAATCAAGGAATTGAGTCTAGTCCTGTTCGTATTAATATTCAGAAGAGAGCATTCCATTATTGTAATGGATATAGGTTCTCAAGTATGATTCTGAGGGCTTTTTATGACAAATTAGGAAGGGCATTTGCATGGTAGGATGTTTTTAAATATGGTCAAAAGTGGTGGCCTGACTTGTCTTTTGATGCTTTAAAAATGCTATATACCTCTTTAAAGGGTTTTTGTGCGTGTGTGTTTTGCGAGGGCGCAAATCAGCAAGGGGCAGAGAGAACAGCGGGGCTTGTGCTCGCCTGATGTGGGGCTGGGACTCACGAACGGTGAGATCGTGATCCGAACGGAGGTCAGATGCCGAACCCGCTGTCCACCCAGGCGCCCCTAAAAGGAAGTTCTAATGCCCGCGTCCACTAATGGTCTCCACAAGCGGGTTCATTGGGAATTTCCGTTCTGTGAATCTGCAAGGATACTTGCAGGGGTTCTGTTTTTCAGATGCTTCTCCTTTTTCCAGTCGTTCCCATATGAAGTCCGTGTCGGGCGGGCTTCTGGGGTCACCTGCTTGGAGCGAGCATTCAGCAGTGACCGCGCCGGAGGCCTTGCCCTCACGGAGCTCACTGTCGTCCTCTCTTGCTTTCAGCTAAAGTAGTGGATCTCGATCCCTGTCTCTCCAAGAAGCCTCTGGAGGAGAAGCCTTCGCATCCGTACAGTGCCCGGGAGAGCCTGTCGGAGGTGCAGTCGCTCAGCAGCTTCCAGTCGGAGTCGTGTGACGACAATGGTGAGTAAGTCGTTCGGAAACGCCGTGGCTGGCAGCGCGGGCTGGTGTGTGCAACCTCGTAGGTGCACCAGGTGCCCCTGTTGAGTCCCCGACTGTGGCCAGGTTCCACTCGGGACTACTGGTGACCTGGACCTCTCACGGCTTGCATGAACGCCTGCAGGGGACCGTAGTTAAAACCTCCTTCGCGGGCGGACAGGAGCCCCTTGTCAGAAATGGGGAGGAACACCTGCCTCGCTGAAAGATCTTTCCTGATTGGCTCGCTTCGTATCGGCCTTTTTTCCACGACAGTAAATGTTTTTAGAGGTTTTGTGGGCTGAAAGAAAAAAAACAAAGCACGCTGTTAGCAACTTAATCTTGAGCGCGGCCCCCGCACCCTTCACGCTCGCACCCCCGGGAGGAGCCCGATGGGGTGGTTGGAAACGTTCTGTTCCAGCAGCACCTTTGGGATTACAAGGTTCTATTCATCTCTTCCCCCCGACTCCCCTGCGGCCCAGCTCCCACTTGGATCAGAGCGCACTGACTGAGAGCACAGTTTAAGAGATTGCTAGTAAGTTTGATTCTATTTCTGATGAAGAAAGTTTGACAGTGGGATCTTCGGATTTCCCTAGGTGAATTGTGTTACCAGCTTCACCACGGTAACACTTGCCAGCAGAGAAAATTGCCAGTATTCAGTAACAAAATCGTTGTTAGTGGAAATTTTTGAATCTCAGAATTAGTACGTTTGACTAATTTTTTTCCTGCATAAAAACGTAATGTGTTTAAACATTTCAAATACAGGTGGAAAGAAATGACCCCACTAATTATTCTTTATTGTTTCTAAACCCAGAGGAATAGGGTTCATAACATGTTGTGGAGTCCTTTTCCAGACTAAAGATGGCCATAAGCATCCTCCATTCATTTCTGACTTCTAGCGTGTTCTGTGATATCAGGTACAGTGTCTGTTCCTCAGCGACAGAGTGTATGAACCTAGCTTTGCTTATCAAACCAACGACAACAGGATAGAATTCTTTCCATCATTAGGCTTGATCTTTAAAACATTAGTGTTGCCAGTTTATGTAGATTATGTTGTTCATAAATACATTTCAGAGTTTTGTCATATTTTGCTAATCCCCTTCCTTGCTTTTAATACCTCCTAAATACTTTTAATAAAGTATGGTCACATTAGCTATGAGTTAATTGCCAGAAAACAGTGTGAGAGCCAGGAGTGTTTGTATTTTAATCCTTAACGTAATTGTAATCATTTTCAGTCATAAAGACCGTATTAAGAATCTCTGCTTAAATTCTAAGGCTCTTCTAACACGTTCCCACAAGTGTTGTGGCTTAAAACAAGATAAATGTATTCTCTTATCGTTCCATAGTTTAGAAATCCATCACAGGTCAGGAGGCTAACGTCAGGGTGCCTTTACTGGGGGCTCGAGAGGACAGTCTGTTTCCTCACCTTTTCTAGCTCCTAGAGGCCACGTTCTTCTCCCTGGCCATGCCTCTGTAGTCCTAGCTCCCTCAAACTGCAGCCGGGAGAGTTTCTGCCCTTTTAAGGACCTTTGTGGAGAATACAGTGGGCTCATATAGGCCGTTCGGGAAAATCTTCCCAAGGTCTTTAATCACACCAGCAAAGTCAGGGACGGTAACTCATTCACAGGCTCGTGGGATTAGATGGGGACATCTTGGAGGGCCGTCCTTGTGTCTACCACACACACACACACGTTTATCTTGGCATCCACGCTTTCACACAATCTGATACACAAACGAAAAGGGAATTTACCTAGGAAACAGCCAAGCAGACCGTTTGCATTTCTCTGCTGGTATGTTAGCTCCTCAGCTGTTAGCCTGTCTGCAAAAAGAGATAAGTAATTTGGAGTGGGCGTACACAGAACAGAGTTAAAGCCAGTTTTGTGCTTATATTACACATTTTGTTGTATTACGTAATGCTAAATTTTTCTGGGAACGTATGAATTCATTAAAAAAAACCCAGAAAATTGGCTTAGCAAGTATTTTACTATTTAAATCTGAACGCTTTTGCCCTGAGATGTTCACATAAGGATTGTTTTGTCAATGACTAGATCCCTAAGTCAGAAAACTTAGAGCAACAAAATTGCTTCAATTGTGGTATAATGTGGTTACCTTATTTGATGAATAATACGTAGCCTGGTTAGAAAAATGTCTAAGATCTATCACCACAAGAGCATAGGAGTCATGCATAATTATGTGTTCTGTTAAAGTATTCACTTCGTGTTTTTACATTAGGAGGTAGAAATTGTGTAATATCAAGGAATCCTATTTAATGCATTGTTTTCTAACTGAAGGTTTTCCTAATTTACTCCTTTTGTACCTTTTTACAAGCTTCCATAGTGACTGTCATACACCTTGTCAACGCTGTAGTTGACACGGTGAATGAAGAAGGTATAGTCACAGTGTGTGTGTTGTGTTTGTGTATAGCGACCGCTACTAGACTAGTGTGCTTTCGCCCATTGTGGTGTCTTAAAAACCATTCGTGGTTTTGAGGGGGTTGGGTATGTGTGTGCAGGTGTGTGTATATGCCCATAAATACTCTTACGTATGTTATGTCTTTGTGACTTTTGGCCCCTCGTGGTGAATCTATATAGATATCAGAAGTGACCCCTAAATCTTGACAACTTGCATTTTTCTAGATCCTTTTCGCAGGAATACCACTAAGACACAGCTTATATAATTATCTAAAACTGACTCTTCACGTCTGAATTTTCCATGGCAGAAAATAATTATTTGCATGATCTGGTTTAGTGAAAGTTCACCTGAAGCTTTATTTTTTTTTCTTTTTTTTTTTTTTTTTAAACTTTATTTTTTCAACGTTTATTTATCTTTGGGACAGAGAGACAGAGCATGAACGGGGGAAGGGCAGAGAGAGAGGGAGACACAGAATCGGAAACAGGCTCCAGGCTCTGAGCCATCAGCCCAGAGCCTGACGCGGGGCTCAAACTCACGCACCGCGAGATTGTGACCTGGCTGAAGTCGGACGCTCAACCGACTGCGCCACCCAGGCGCCCCTGAAGCTTTATCTCTCTGTTCAAAAGAAAGGGCATTGATCACCGCCTAAAATTACTTAAAGTCTGCCCTTTATTAATGCACTGAAGTCTGAGTCATCCCATGTAACTTGCACAAGCTAGTAGTTTTTAAACTGCAGATCAGAGCATCTAGAGGTGATGATCACCGAGAGGGCTTGTTTAAAAGCCTCATTGTTGGGCCCTGAGAATTCTCCTTTCTAACACATTCTCCATTCATTCTGATGCTACTGTTCTAAGGATCCTACTCTGAGAACTGCAGCAATAGACGATCCAGAGTGCATGAAGCACAGGGGAATCTTCCTTGCTAGGAGATGTTTTCAGGACTGAGCTGAGAAGGATAGTTTTGTGCCAGACGTGATGGGGCAGGCCGGATGGGGGGTTTTGGTGGTATCCATGAATCATACACACACCTTCCTGACAACAGGTGCTGTGTCTTTACCTGGTGAAGCAGAAAGTAGTGACGGAGTTTTAAAAAGCAGAACCTAAAACAGTTCTTTCATTAGATCTCCTTCATTGAAAAATATATCTTGGCATATCTAAGAAATGGTATTTGAAGTTGAATGCTAGCTTCAATGTCAAGAATTGAGTGCCAGTGGAGTAAACACGTTGTTGGTCTTCTCTTTGAAAAGAAATTGCTACATTTTTAGGAGACTTAAAAAAAAATTCTATAGGCACGCATTGCCTAAAATACGAGCTGATTCGTTTTTTAGTTCATTTCAGCTTTTGATTTAAATTCCTAGAAGAGAGCCATCAGTCACATCGTCTTTGTTCCAAATGATGAAATGGGTTTTCAGGAACAGTGTAGAATGCATAGGAAGCATTGGTTTTGTTTAGAACAGCACCGAAGTGGCCCTGTTTCTACCGTGATTACTACTTTTCAATAATAAGAATCCTGCCAATAGCTAAGAGTTAGGGCTTGACCTACATTCTCTGATCTAATCCTCATAGTGAAGGGATTTCCACTCCCCTTTCAAAGATAAAAACCTGAAGCTTAGCCAGGGTAAGCATCCTGCCCAGGGCCACGTGCGCTGCCTTCAAGCTTTGAGTTTTGGGGGTGGGGACCGGAGTAAGTGCAGCCGGAGGCCTCCCGGGAGAGGTGAACAATGTCAGTGCGTAAGTCCCACTCGGAACAGGCACGATTTGAAGGGAGTGTCTTCTAGTGATTCACGGGCACCTGGGTTTGTGAATTCGTCTGGAGGTTATGTACACGTGAGGGCTGGCAAAGTGTCTTTTCTATAGTGTTAGATGTGTTTGGATTGGGTCACGGGATCCCTCAGTATCATGAAGGTGTCGTTGAAGCTCCTTATCGAGTTACACTTGATGAGAGCCTATAGACTTGACTTCTTCCTAACCAAGTCGTGTGCCTTCAGGTTCAGATTGCCAGAAAAAATGGAAAAGGAGGTAAACTCATGTTTGAATTTTCTGGCAGAGTTCATCAGTGTCTTCCCCCCCCCCCCCCCCCCCCCCCCCCCCCCGCCCCGCCCCATTTCATTTGTGCTACGTGCATATCTCGAGCATTTGGAATTCTCCTAGAGGATGGCTTAAAGGCACGATACATGGCTGACTGGGCCTTGATGAACAGTTTGTATTGTATTGTGTACTTACCTTTATCGCCTTTCAGCCGGCTTTCTGTTTTAATTATGAATGTTTTCTTTTCTCTCTACTCTGCCACCAAAAGAGTCTTTGGCTGCTCCTGACCTCAGCAAATCAAGAGGTGACTGATGCATGCCAGTTGTTCATTGGTACTCACTCAACAAAATTGGTCAAGATCTGACCCCAGGGCCCGCCTCGCTTCACTTGTCTGCTCCGCGGGTGCCGCCCTTACTAAGTACAGGGCTGTGTGTGCGCTTCATTGAAACATGTACTGCCTTGCCTGCCTGGCAGAGGAGTTCAGTAATCCTCGGGGAGGGGGGCATCCCCCAATGGGGAGGTTTCTGAAAAGAATAATTAACCTTTTAAAGTGATCCTTAGGCCTTGTGAAAGTAACAAAACTGACTGTTGTAATCTATCAAAGATTGGGTTCTGTTTTTCAGCGCTTGATTGCATTTTGCTTGATTTGAAGGCATGCTTTGGTACCTAGATTAACGTAATTCATCGTTTTTCTTAGGGCTGAGCACAGTGCAGTCTCTATAGGATTGTAGAGGAAATTGGTTTTTTAAATTTGACCATGTTTAAAATTACCTTGGCTCTTCTAAAGAGTTGCTTTAGTGTTTTTTGAAGGCCTAAACTTACTTACTGGTGTCCTGAGCCTGAACTAATAGAGCAGTGGGTTCTCTGTGACCAGGAAAGCGGAAGGGCTGACTGGAATCGCGTGTGCAAGAGTGCACGTAACGTAGACACTAGCACACTGCTTCTCTTCAGCCTCGTGTCGCTTCCTTGAACGTTAGGTACTTACAGGAAGCTCTGAGTCCCCATTTTGAAGCAGAGCTTTGGGTCACTGGGTAGCAGGCCCTCAAAGCAAAGATACTGCCTTTGCACGCTGAAAAAGAGCTCAGTGTAACAGACGCTGGGGGAGAAAAGACACTGAAATCTGTTTTCTTGTCTACCAAGGGTATCACTGGGATACGTCGGATTGGATGCCGAGTGTTCCTCTGCCGGATATACAAGAATTCCCCAATTATGAGGTTATCGATGAGCAGACCCCCCTGTACTCGGCAGATCCGAATGCCATCGATACGGACTATTACCCTGGAGGTTACGACATTGAGAGTGACTTTCCCCCTCCCCCGGAAGACTTCCCGGTGCCAGACGAACTGCCCCCCTTACCTCCGGAGTTCAGCGATCAGTTCGAATCCATACACCCTCCGAGAGACATGCCCGCTGCTGGTAGTCTGGGTTCTTCATCGAGAAGCCGGCAGAGGTTCCACTTGAATCAGTATCTGCCCCACTTCTACCCCGTCGATCTGTCTGAACCTCAAAAGACAGGCACTGGTGACAACGGTCCGTGTAGAGAACCCTATGCCCCCTGCCCTCCAGGGTACCCAAGAAACTTTGAAGCCCCCACCGTAGAGAACATGCCCCTGTCTGTGTACCCCTCCACGGCTTCCTGCTCTGATGTGTCGGCGTGCTGTGAAGTGGAGTCTGAGGTCATGATGAGTGACTATGAGAGCGGAGACGACGGCCACTTCGAAGAGGTGACAGTGCCTCCGCTGGATGCGCAGCAACACACGCAGGTCTGACGCCCCGACTCCCCCCAAAGTGCCTGGACTTGAACGAGCCCGAGATCGTTCCGTAAACGATCTTCTGCCTCGTTCTCTGCAGAAGTGCTTAAGCGCTTTTTTTTTTTTTTTTTTTTTTTTGGCGAGCTGGGGTGGGCGTGGCCGCACGGAGTCACGCACCGCCTGGCGTGGTGGCCATTCCCAGCGTCCCAACCTACTGTAATTGGGTGACAGGTCCATTTCTGAACATCTTTTTTGCATTTTACATCTGTCTGTTAAAAATAATGAAACGAAAATCAGTCCTTTCATCTTGTTAGCATGATTCGTGTATTTATAGAGATTTGATTATTTTAATTTCCCTTTTTTTTGTAAATGTTTTGTACAGATTTGATTTTTCATAGTTTTAACTAGATTTTCAAGACCTTTTGTGCATTTGTTTTTGACCGAATTTTGGTGGTGTTAGTGTCATTACCTAGCACCCTGATTTTTCAATGTAACCAGGGTTTCATTATATGTCCTTTTCCATTGAGGTATGACATTTCATGAAGACATTTCAGTATAGTCCTTCGTTTCTAGCTGTACATAGGATGAGGAAAGATTGTATACAAGAACATGTCTTAAATGGGTGACTGTATTTTAGAACTATAAACATTTTTCATTATTGGAAAGTGTAATGGGGACCTTCCGCATACCTGTTTAGAACCAAAACCATCATGACACAGTTTTTATAGTGTCTGTATATTTGTGATGCGATGGTCTTGTAAAGGTTTTTACTGAAAACTACCATTAGCCAGTCTTTCTTACTGACAATAAATTATTAATAAAATATTTGAGCTTTACTGCCTGTTTTTCCTTTCTGTTTATGCTTTTGTTTGGGAGTCAGTTAACGAACTGACAGGGACGGATGGATGAAAAGACAAAACCACATTGGCTTTTGGTGGCCCTGACTGTGGAAGGTTCCACCCTGCCCAACCAGGCTGTACCTACAGATGTAGCCGCTAGGTGGCAGTACATGGCTACTTGAGCCCGCTCAGAAATCCAGGTATAACTATAAAACTACACCCTTTTTACGTATTTGCCAACTACAAGAAAGATTTCCTTTATGCATTTCATTCACTAGTTAATGGTTATACTTTAAATGCTTCTATGGTCTTCACCTAGGACATCTATCAGAAACAATCTTCCATGTGTATTTTATAACAGCGAAATCCATCCATCCAGCAAATACCGTGTGCCAACCACTGTGATATGAACGACAAAGAATCAAGCTTTCTTAGAACTTTAGAAAGATACTTTTTCCCTTTAAGTAAATGCCTCATTTTATCAAATGATACATATATATGTATATGTATAAACAAAAGAGCTAAAATAGGTATAATTGAACAAACAGCAAACTCAAACCCTCTGCTGTAACCACTTACAATCCCCAGCTGTTTTTCTCATTTTCCTGTTCATGTGTTAGGGTCTGTATATTGTTCCGAGAGTCACTAGTATTTTTTAGGGATCGCTTATTGAGTGTGATGTTTGCGTAAGGCCATGTAACCTAAACAACCCCCACAGAGTTACACCATAATTTTTGGATTAATCCACGAACACGCTTTTCATTGTTTTGGCGATGTCAATATTCACTGCTGAGCCAAGCGGTCTAGGAGGTTCATTTCCATTTACTTTGCTACTTTTTCTGAAACAGGCGCCTTCATTTTTTTTTACTTTGTAAAATTTGTGACTATTTCATGAATTTACCCAAAACACATTTCTTTGGGTCACCTACCATAGGTTATCCTACATGAAAAGACAAAAATTCCCTACCTTGTCTTTTCCCTGTCATGGCGCATGCAGAAGCTGGTCCCACTTTTAGGGTATAGACGGCATGAGGGAGGAGGCTGCTTGAACCCAGAGGGGCCGGCCGCCTGAGGTGATGCCCAGGTGATGCGTGGGCTCCTCCCAGCCGCCCGGAGGGCTCACAAGGTCAACGTCTGGGAGCTTTGAGAGAGAGAACTCTGGGTAATCCTGCTCGCTCTCCTCTTCCTGTGAATTTGTTGCTGTGGAAAATAAAAGTCTAGTCAAGAACCGGATCTTCGTAAAATCGGCTTTCATTTCGATTCGATTTTCGGTGACCTCCTATAAAGGTAACTGTGAGGTTTGTGGGCGGCCAGACCCGGAAAACTCCCCCGACGCCCGTTCGCTGCCTCCGGTCTTTCCCACCCTCGCCCAGCCCCACTGAATCCGCTCAGTAACTTTCTCAAGGTCAATGTGGGCCGCTCCCTTGCAGACCAGCATTCAGTGTACTTTCTGATTGCTCCTCCTCAGAGGCATTAGGTTCCATTGCAATTAGTGGGCCGGCTGAGACAGAGTTGTTTGTCGGAATTTAATTTCCTCACTAGCAGTTTACTGCCTCTACTGCAAATGCGATGAGCCACTTGAAAAGAATGACAAGTATTTTCTTTCCCAAGAAAACCTGTTTGTGTGAACACTTAGGCAACGAATGCACTTGTCCCCGTGCTATACGAAAGCGTGACCCTGGAAGAAGCTACGTTCTCAAATGATGCTAGACAGAAAACGTGTAATATTTGGACCAAATCTCAGAGCTACGAGTGCAGGGTCTCTAGGAGGGAGGACACATAGGAACTCAGTGATTCTGAACCAGAGCTGTTATAAGAGAGTCTTAAAAACTGAGAACACACTGAGGGCTGATGGGAGGGAGGGGAGGGCGGGTGATGGGTATTGAAGAGGGCATCTTTGGGGATGAGCACCGGGTGTTGTATGGAAATCAATCTGACAGTAAGTTTCATATATTAAAATAAAAAAAATACATCCTATACAATGAAAATAAAAAAATAAACCAGAGCTGTTAGCCAGTTGCCTCAGGGGTAAAAAGAAATTCTCAGGGCACCTGGGTGATTCAGTCCTTTAGCGTCTGACTCTTGATTTCAGCTCAGGTTGTGAGATCGAGCCCCATCGGGCTTCGAGCTAGGCATGGAGCCTGCTTAAGATTCTCTTTCTCCCTCTCCCCCCGACCCCCCCCCCATCTCTCTGCCTTCTCTCTCTCAAAAATAAATTCTCAAAATGTCTAATGATGATTGCTTCAGTTCATTTCACTATCCAAAACCTAACAGTTTTCGGATAAGGGGACGGTAGGGGAAGAGGCACAAGTCATCTACCCAGAGGGAGGGTCAACCTCCTCGTGCCTGTTAGGGCACAGCTCCACTTTCTTGCCAACTTGGGAATATTAGCCCACCTGCAAATGAGGACTGCAAAGGCTTTTCAGAGATGCTCTTGTGGCTTACGTTTTTAAATATTTACTTCAAATGAGTACTTTCCTCTCCTTTCAAGGGTAATTCTACTTTAAATAGATGCTTTAAGTTAGGGTGGAACAAAATAAAATTTCGTGCATAATTTCAATTAAGCCAAATGTTTCCAATGCACAAAGGTTGAGGGCACCTGGGTGGCTCAGTTGGTGAAAGCATCCGATTCTTGGTTTTGGCTCAGGTCCTGGTTTCACAGTTCGTGGGATCGAGCCCCCTGTCAGGCTCTTCACCGACAGCACTGAGCCTGCTTGGGATTCTCTCCCTCTCTGCCCCTTCCCCACTCACGCTCTCTGGGTCTCTCTCGAACTTGTTTAAAAAACGCACAAAGTTTCTCCAACTAAAAAGCTCCTACCGGATTGAAATTGTTTTTAAGAATCATCTAAAAGGTTGCGTTTTTACTTCTAATGGGGAACTTCACAAATTTGAAAAATACCCTCAGGTCAGTGAAAACCATGGTCTTACCTTTAATTTCTGGGCCATAGTTCCGAGTCATGCCGTGGTTCTGGAGATGGCCTCGCGATGAATGACAGAGCTAGGTTGGTTCTCTACTAGATTAACGACAGCAGCGAACACTGGGGTCAGCGAGCCGCGCTTTGTCGTGTGACGTTGGGCTCCGTAATCTTTGGCAACCATCACGTCTGGGAGCGTCTCTTACCGGTGCCGTTGATGTCAGAGAAACAGACATTTGTCCATGACGACAAAGCGGGCAAGCGGTAAAGCCCCATTTGACCTTGGGGGGGTCTGACACCAGAGTTTATCCTCGTCACCAAGACCACTGGCCGCCACACCCGGCAGATGCCTGGCTTCCTCAGGTGGGGCCTCCATGACTGCACTGGCCGATAGTCCCCACCCCTGCCTAGAGAGCCGTGCGACCTTCAGGTGGAGTTGAACTCCGCTGACCGGAGGGCTCTTTTTTAAAGCCATGGGCCCTCAGGGTACACTTGTAAATTCCCGTGCCTTCAGGCATCAGTGGGAGGTGGAGACTGCTGGCTTTTGACCCACAGACCTCAGGCGGAAAGCGTTCCCTGTCACTAGCTGTATGATCTTAACCAACTGCTTAACTGAAAAGGAGGTGTGGCTAATAAGTACCCCCCAGGAATTACATGGAATGCACGCTAACCGTCTGGACGAGTGTTTGTAGGAGAGCTCATTCCATGCCAAACATTCTGCAATTGGTAACTCCTCGAATCCGTCCAGGGACCCCCCCCCCCCCCCCCCCCCCCCCCACTTATCGCCCCACTTTCCAGATCAGGAAACCCAGGCGTAACCTAACTTTCCGAATGTCACACCAAAGATCAGGGTTGAGACTGAAATTCAAAGCCCTGACTCTGGTCTCCAAGCTGCTTCCCACAGACCTCCTTTCTGAACAGCGTGTCTGAGACGAACCAAATGGCAGACGGCAAAGCTCAGAACAAAGACGTTCACCAAATGCTTTCATTGCCGTTCCTGTTTCCTCCCTCGCCGCCATCCCCGTTTTCAAATTGGCATTTAACAGATGCCTTTTAAAACGTATCGTAGGCAAGTTTTCATTTTCTTGGTGCTACGATTCCGAGAAGCTTCCTGGTCAGGTTGTCGTCACTGGACCGACCTCCTCCAATCCAGGGCAGCTTTGGTCTTCGGATCTTGGTTGTTTTTGCTAAATGCGTGCGTTCCACACGGGAGGATGTGTGACGTGGGTGCAGCCGAGTCACAAGGTGCCGCTTCTGCTGTTCC